AGCTGGCCGGCTTGCGTTCTGGAGGACGAACGATCTGGAACGCAGACTTTGTGGTGTGAACTGGCCTTAAAGGATATAAATGTCAACACACTGGATGAAATACCCATCACAATACAAGGCAGGATGACAAAAAACACAAACATATAGGGACCCTTCTGGCTTTGATACTAAAGCAGAACTCCAGGCAAACAGTTTACAATATATATAGATATATACAGCGTGTGTGTGTACAGTTTTAGATGACAAAGGTCTTGCAGTTCTGTATGGCCAATCTTGTGAGTTACAAGCATGTCCCACACTGTACACCAAGGCAAGCTACACATTTATTTCCTGGTTATTATTATACAGGATTTATAGAGCGCCAACAGTTTGCGCAGCGCTTTACAATATAAGGAAGACATTACAATCACAATACAATTCAAGACAAGATGGTAAGGAGGGCCCGGCCCCTGAGGGCTTACATTCTACAAGGGTTCCTCCATCTTGAGCTTGTCTATTGGAGACTCAATCATCATCATCTCTATCTATTTAGCAAGGACAAGCCCTAAAGACCATAAATCTGACCCAGGAAGTAGCAGGAAGATCTACCTGGCTGTGCATTGTGGATAAGGTATATAAATCGAGACACTGACTGAACAGTAAATATATAGGCGTTTCAATGGTGTACTTAGGAGTTTGCCTGGAGTCCTCTTTTAATAATTCTTGTGCAAATCAGCTAAAAGTGAATTTCCACTTTTGCAGTCAAATCTGAGAAGACCCCTCCATATGTTTTTGTGTTCCCATTCACACAGCATACTGTAAAAAAAAAATGTTTAAAGAAAAATGTAAACAGCACTTTTTAAATATTAACATATGCTATGTGAATGGGAACACGTAACAAATATAAAGTAGATGTTATCCCAAATTGGCGGAAATCCACTTTGAAGGGTCTCCATTGTCAAAAACTAAATCTGTATTTCTATATTGAATTTCCATAAGTTCTATCCCACTCCTAATAACCAGGTCCATCTAGAACAGTGTTTCTCAACCTGTGGGTCGGGACCCCCTCGGGGGTCGAATGACGATTTGCCAGGGGTCGACTAGTGGCTCTCGGCCGCCGGGAGAGAAACACTTTCTCCCGGAAAGGTCACGACCTTTCTCTGCTCTGTTTTTTTAAATCGGGGCCCGTCGTAAGTCAGAAAAAAAAACCCCACCATAGGAATGCATAGCTAGATTCCTATTGGCTATTTCACTTTGCAAAAGCCAATAGCAAACTAGCTATTGCACCCGCCCTCTGATGCTGCCAATCAGCAGAGGGGGACCTGAAGTTCTCCATCAGGTCCCCTTCTAGTGATTGACAGCAGCAGAGGGCAGGTGCAATATGTATGTATCCAAGCAAAAAAATATGTAAAACACACCTCCTAGCTATGCATTCCATTTTCCCGGTCCGCAGCTGCAGAGATTGGGAAATGTCTCAGTGCCTGTGATTGGCACTGTCAGCTTCCTGGCGGGCTCGGCACGTGGAGCTGCGAACACGCCCGAGCCCATCCCTATCAGTGACAGTACTGCGGAGTGTGTACCTCATACGTTATATAACCACACACTTTAAATCCAATTCTTCTAGTTCCAGCTGCAGAGCCGGTGCTGTCTTTGCCTTTAGCAGTGGTTCTCAACCTGTGGGTCGCTGTGCTAGGTGAGAGTCCTCAGCTCTCTCCTAGCGCAGCAGTGTCAGTTCTCCTGCCACGCCGCCAGATGTCGCTGCAGCAGCCCGTCATCCCTAAATTTTACCTTTGGGGGTCACCACAACTTGGCAAATGTTACCAAGGGGTCCCGGCCCTAGAAAGGTTTAGAACCACTGATCTAGAAGATTGTAATATATATAAAATGAAGGTGTTATTCTGGTGCAGTAATGTGATTTTATTTTGGTATAGTGATCCTTTAATGAAGTCCAACATTACAAGGTTCTATGGGTTGTGACACATTCCTGCTCTAAAGGGTTTAAAGATATTCAGCCAAATAAAAGCAATTTAGTCTCGGGTGGATAGTGACAATGTAACTAACACTCCTTAAAGTAAGCCTCCGTTTTTTTTTTGCATATCCACCGGAGCAGCAGTGACGCGAAGCTCGGCGAGGTAAGTAAGAAGAAACCTGACCAGCTCGAGACGCTGACTCGAGTATAAGCCGAGGGGGGCATTTTTCAGCACAAAAAATGGGCTGAAAAACTCGGCTTATACTCGAGTATATACGGTATCTAGCGCCAGCAAGCAGTAGATATATGCAAAAAAAATGTAAAAAACAAAAACGCTTTGAAAGAGGTTAAAACTTAACTGTGTCTTCCACGTGCGCTCCCGTCTGAAAATATGAAAATTCTCAGGCGGCGCAAAGCATCTTGGGGCGGGCGCATGCGCAGTTCAGATTTTTGGCCGGGAGACGAGGAGAGACACAAGGTAAGTCTATGGACGCGTGCACCATAAGACGCACGCACATTTTTCTCCTCCTTGTGGGGGAAAACAGGTGCGTCTTATGGAGCGAAAAATAGGGTAAACACAATCCTCAAATTTCAGTCTTAAGTCTTTCTATAAAGACAGAACCCCTATGGAAGGGCTGAGAAAAACCTGGAATCAGCCATCTTGTCTGTTTTTACAAAACATCTAAAAAGGTAAGATTGTTTTTTTTAAAGTTCTTTTTCAGTACGCTGTGTGAACTAGAGGCCACCACCTAAAATTGGTGGAGAAAAGATTGAATGACAAAGGGCGTAGGGGCTTCTTTTCAGTCAGAGCGGTTACATTTTGGAACTTTCTGCCACAAGCAGTAAAATCAGCTGAGAGTATTGAATCATTCAAAAATCAATTAAGATACATTCCTCAGAGACTGCTACATACAGGGGTACAGGTACTCTTAAAAACTAGAACACACACACGTTGAACTCGATGGACCTGTGTCTTTATTCAACCTCAAATACTATGTAATAGGAACACATAACGAACACATGGAGTGTGTTTGACTCAAATTTGACTGCAAAAGTGGAAATAGACTTTAAAGGAAAACTATGGGATCAGTGTTTTTCCCCATAGCTCTCCTCAGTGTCACGGGAGGACATAAACTAGCGTCCTCCCGTGACCCAAAGCTCAGTATACCGCGAGCTACAGCTCGCGGTATACTGAGACCGCCGCAGCCAGGACGGATCCTGACATTATTTTGCAGATAAGATTATTTGTTTGTATTTATATACAAGACAAATAACAGAGACCCTCAGCAATAGCCATTTCATATTTGATAAGATGACCTCAAAGGGTTCTCCACACAAAGGTGTTCAGATTCTGCAGGTTTGCTCTGGAAATGGTAGACCTGCTGTAATCCCTGTGGTCTCTACAGTCTCCCCTGGAGGTTTTTTCCCCCCTTTCTCAATATGGCATAGTCAATATACCAGTATTGGGTGAACTGTTCTTTGAGATCGAACACTAAAAGCCACACAGGACTAGGTCACAGGACTATCACTATACAGCCAGTCACAGGACTAGGTTTCGGAACTTTACACCTCAAAACACTAATTGTTCAGGGGAAAAAAAGAGATTAAAAAAAAAAAGGGAAAACAAAACAAAAAGTACCTTTTAAAAACTAGAAGCATATTCAATGTAAAAAGTATAACCCCCATGACCCCAGGGCTCTGCCCTGCTGAACTTCAAAAACAAAAACCACAAACATGCAAAAAAGAGAAATTCTAAAACAACAAAAAAAGTGACCATTGACCACTGCCCCATAGTTGGTGTTAGAGTGGTTGTAGGAGGAGAATAAAAGTTGACAAAATTCAATAAAAAAATATAAAAGATGATTCACATTTACAATAGAGAACAATGACATCCGCAGTGACATAAATGGCTAAAACAAGGTGATAAAATAAAGTGTAAATCTTCGGCTTCATGCACCAGGACGGAGTGAAGCAAGATATCCTCATGAATTACTCATCGAACGTGCTGTAGGGATGATCCATGTCATGAAGGAGACCTGCAAGAAAGCAAACAAAAAGGCAATTCATAAAAAGAGGCAAAATACAAATCTTAAAGCCCAAGTGTCGGGAAATGAAACGTTTTCCATTGTAGTGGGTCTGCCCCCGCAATGCAAGGGTTAACTGCTTGTCTAAGCCTAGGGGACAGGAAAAAGCAGTTTTACGTACCTGATCCCCGCTCCTACTGTGCTGCTAGACCAGTCCCCGCAGCCTCTTCTCCTCCTCTTCACTCCAGTGGTCTAAGGGCCGCTGCGGTCATCAAGTACAATGCAGGCTCCATAGACCTGCAGTGCACATGAGGATGTCGAGGGATAGTCCACAGCCAGAACGAAAGGGGACAAGAGGAGAGCACCAACCGCAGGGAACCCTAGGCAATAACGAGCAGTTAACCCTTGCAATGCAGGGGCAGTCCCGCTACAAGGGAAATGTTTGAATTTCCTTGCAGCTGGGCATTAACCATTCACGGATTATCAGTTATATTTATTAATACATCATTTAATATTGTAAATACAAGCAAAGCAATGTGACTGAATGTGGCTTGGTATCCCCTGTACAACAGCATTCAGACTGGAACAGAAGTGGCAGGACTGAGAGCCAATCAGGTTAACTATATGCTAATAGGCAGAGAAGGAATATGATGACAGGAGCAGAGACAGGAGTGAGCAGAAATGTGACCTCTTCATGTCCTCTGCTGCTCCTTCCTTGTCAAATCTACAGGCTAGTGTCAGCAGTGTATTTCTTAAGGGCCCATTCACACCATGCGCTGCGCTAATAGCATAGCGTCTGGTGTCCCGGCACAGTGCCGAAGCGCTGATCCCAGAACAACTGAAATGTGTTTGAGTTTTATGGGCACAGCGGGGTGTGAGGCGGTTGTAACGCATTGCATCCTGCTGTGTGTGCTGCTTACTTTTTTGGCTTACACAACGGTGGTGTGAATGGAGCCCATCCGTGACAAGGCAAATTGCCTTGTCTTGCATTGGAGCTGCGCTGGAAACAACGGCCGGCGCAGCGCCAACGCAGATGGTGTGAATCGGCCTGAACTGTACGAGAGAAAGTTGCGTCATCCACATGGATGAGCTGTGTGGCAGGTTTGTGTAAATCTCAGGACTGGAAGGGGAGGAAGAGAGAGAGACAAAGAGGGGGAGGAGGAAGAGAGAGAGAGACTAAGAGGGAGGAAGAGAGAGAGAGAGGAGTTCTATGTATGTAGATATTGGCTTGGAGTAAAGCTCTAAAAACATTATAATTAAAATCCTTTCTTGTAACCATTACAATCAAAATGGTTTTTAACAATTGGGCCTTCTGTGCATTTAGCAGAACTCAACACAGACTGGCTCTGGATCTATTTGTTGGGCCCCAATACACACGTGTGAATAGGCTTTAAAAAAAACAAAAAACACCTCTATTGCTTTTGGGTAAATATGTTTTTATGTAGTCATGTCCAACGTATTGTATGTATTTACTAAGTACATCACTTTGTTTGTTCATAACATTAATAAATACAGAGTGCATCCATTACACAGGAGATGTTGTAGAAAAACAGAAGAAGCTGCTTGCCTTTAGACTGTCTCTTTCAGATTGAAACTCCTTACAGCCTGTTGGAACGGAGCTGAGAGAGTGAGAAGGAAAGAAGGGATGAGTCCCTGCTCTGACCCATTCAGTTGTGTGTGTAATTTCAGCCTGGGCTACAGTGCTCTGTAAATTGACAGTTTCATTGTCACATGTCAGCTCGAACTATGAGGATGAGTGGAAATCACTCGCCTCATAGTTCTCCTTTAAGGGAAGCCAGGTAAACTTGGAAATATTGATGTGATATTTCATACAGGACTTAAGAAAATGCAACTTGTGTGTTTTTTTTTTTAAACATAGTGAAGAACGTATATTCCCCCGAACCCCCCCCCCCCCACTATATATCCACTTTAAGGGACATTGGCTGGGAAATGAGTTTGTGGCTTCCCGCTTTTGAGATCGGCTCAGCGGCGCGATCCAGCTCTGTTTGCATTTCATACATAATGAATCAGATTAGGAGGAAATTGGAGTGAACGGCTCTGTGCATTTTCCATTCTATCAGCTGCTATAAACGCCTCTTACACTCCGGCCGGGGGGGCGGATCAGTGAAAGGCAGGAATCTCCCCTGAACATGAGACGCTTAGAACAGGCGACAAGAATATTATACAGCGAAATATTCTACGGCTTACAAGTCTATTACTGATCCTAAGACAACACTGCAATATACTGAAATCTACTAACTAGAAACTACTTCTGCCGCTGAACACATTGCCAACATCATACTACTCATGTCCTCCCCATACTCCCTTCCTCTTCTAAGCTGCCAAGCACCTCCTTCCCAAGCTCACAGTTGCTGAAACATGTTTCAGCATTTTAATTAAGGAGACGCCATCACTTTGCTCATTTGTCTAAAGTAGAACCCCACGATGTGCAAAAATTAACCCTTGCAGTGGGGCTACTTCTGCACCGGAAGGGTTAACTGCTCAGTTTGGTCTAGGAGCCTGGATAAAGAGAGTATACTAAGCCGATCCTCGGCCCTGCTGCCAGTTAGTGCTTACCTCTCCCTCCTCTGCTCCGGCTATGGCATACTGAAGCGTAATGTACACTATATTGCCAAAAGTATTGGGACACCCCTCCAAATCATTGGATTCAGGTGTTCCGTGAAATTTCCTTGCTACTAAATATTCTGCGGTCACCTGTTAGTGGTATTATAACAAAGTGGAAGCAACTGGGAACAACAGCAACTCAGCCACGAAGTGGTCGGCCACGTAAAATGACAGAGCGGGGTCAGTGCATGCTGAAGCGCACAGTGCGCAGAGGTCACCAACTGTCTGCAGAGTCAATAGCTACAGACCTCCAAACTTCGTGTGGCCTTCAGATTGGCACAACAACAGTGCATAGAGAGCTTCATGGAATGGGTTTCCATGGCCGAGCAGCTGCATCCAAGCCTTACATCACCAAGTGCAATGCAAAGCGCTGGATGCCGTGGTGTAAAGCACGCCGCCACTGGAGTCTAGGGAAGTGGAGACGTGTTCTCTGGAGTGACTTATCACGTTTCTCTGTCTGGCAATCCGATGGACTTGTCTGGGATTGGCGGTTGCCAGGAGAACGGTACTTGTCTGACTGCATTGTGCCAAGTGTAAAGTTTGGTGGAGGGGGGATTATGGTGTGGGGTTGTTTCTCAGGGGTTGGGCTTGGCCCCTTAGTTCCAGTGAAGGGAACTCTTAAGGCATCAGCATACCAAGACATTTTGGGCAATTTCATGCTCCCAACTTTGTGGGAACAGTTTGGGGATGGCCACTTTCTCTTCCAACATGACTGGGCACCAGTGCACAAAGCAAGATCCATAAAGACATGGAGGAGTGAGTTTGGGGTGGAGGAACTTGACTGGCCTCAACCCGATAGAACACCTTTGGTATGAATTAGAGCAGCGACTGTGAGCCCGGCCTTCTCGTCCAACATCAGTACCCGACCTCACAAATGGTCCAACATTCCCATAGACACACTCCTAAACCTTGTGGACGCCTTCCCAGAAGAGTTAAAGCTGTTATAGCAGTAAAGGGCGGGCCAACTCTATATTGAACCCTGCGGGCTAAGACTGGGATGCCATTAAATTTCTTATGCGTGTAAAGGCCGGCGTCCCAATACTTTTTGCAATATAGTGTAAGTGAATTAGACATGATGGTGTCATGGTCCCTAGACCAAAATGAGCAGCTAAACCCTTGCAGTGAAGAAGTAGCCCCAATGCAAGGGTTCATTTTTGCACATTCTGGACTTTAACTGCCTACGGGCCGGCCGTAGTAAAAAAACGGCCGGCCAGGAGCTCGCTAGATCTGAGCGGGCGTCTTTAGACGTCCGCTCAGACACACCCCCTTGCGCGTGCCGCCGGGCGTGCGCGAGCGGCAAATGGCTGCAATTTAAACTCTGTATGTGTTCGCTCACTTCCCGATCTACTGAGCCGACCTGTGACAGTTTCATTGTCACAGGTCGGCTCAGATTACGAGGATAATTATGAGAATTATGAGGAGTGAAAAGCACTCACCTCATAATTCTCCTTTAATGAAGTGCCCTTTATTCCAGTTATAAAGTAAACCATTCATAAATGTGGACAAAGGACACTGGCCATCATAACCTAGAACAGTGCTTCTTAAAGTGTGGGTCGCGACCCCATATGGGGTCCCACAAGTGAACAGGAGGGGTCACGATCTGAATCCCCGGCCAGGACCGCCATCAAGGGGGTACGGCCGGGGAGGCCTGGGCTCGAAACAAGATTTTTTTGTTTTCGTTTAATGTGCAGTGTAGTGTAGTTTTTAAGGTCGCGCCCCCCCCTTCCCCCATTCACTTGGTACCTTCCAGAGCATGTGCGCACAGGAAGGTTTTTGTTTTTTTAACATTGACGGAGCTTTCTTTAACACAGCAGCAGTGGAGCACAGCTGCTGGAGGTAGAGGGGGGGAAGAGGAGAGAGACTCTGACCGTCCGGGGGGAGAGGAGAGAGACACTGACCGATGTTAAGGGGGGGGTGGCAGGAGAGAGACACCGACTGACACTAGGGGAGGGGGTAGACACTGACCGACGCTGGGGGAAAAAGGGGAGAGACACCGTCCGACGCTGGGGTCCCTTAAAAATGTCCTCGCCCAAAAAGGGGTCACGAGTGGAGAAAGTTTGAGAAGGCCTGACCTAGAAGACAGGCGACATCTAGTGGCAGAAATATATCACTACAGCTTTGGATTTCAGGTGAATATTGCAGCAAAAGCTGTTTTTTTCTTCTTTTCAATATGCAAGTCTTTTCACTTAAAAAAAAAAGGAGTGTCATTCAGTTTCAGTTCAAGTCCTTGAAGTGCATTCCCTTTAAATGAAATGAATGAACAGCAATTTGCTCACATTGCAGAGTGTCATCCGTTCCTTCTTGCGTGTTACCTCTATGCCAGCGATCACAGTGGGGAAAACAAATCACTTTGAAGATTTTCTGTTTACAAGTTACTCCAAAGCTGG